GCACTCTAGTACAAAAATAAAAGCTTTTACTGAAATAACCGCGGCTCGATCATATGCAGAATAAAATGTTCTGTAAGACGGGATCCAAGCGTGGCAGAATTAAAACCAGACAATGGCCTGAAGTAACAACAAAGACATTTACACAATTAAAATAGTGCTAAACTTGTTATGGTGTGTTTATAAAATGTGATCCAAGTCAGGCAAACCAAGACAAGAAAGGAACAGTCTTGTTAATTCCAGATTGAATCTTCAGTCTCTAAACTTTCATCTGTGAAGCTTCAGTGAGTCGGAATGAACCCGTGCTGTGATGTGGTGAGGCCTACGTAGCATGCTAAGTGTGCTAAGCTACTGCTAAGCTACTAAGCTACTAAAACAGATCTACATCATATTAGAAGGTTATGGTAGATAATTGAGGGGTATAAATTTGACACGATTGTGATTTTAATAACAACTGTTTATCTATTTTGACTGACTGCACAGTCCAAACATCAAACAAGTTAGCTACGTTAGCGCAGGCTTGTAGCTGTAAGCTAGTTTCCTGATGCTATGTTGTAATCCTCTTATTTGCATATTTTAATATACTGAACTGTGATTGGTAGCTCCTCATGAGTCTCTTTTTTCAGACGTACTAAGAAAGTCAGAAAGTAAGAAATGTAAATTCTGCACAATACGCTTAAAAAAGGTTCTTCAACAAAGGCCATAGTTAAACATAGAACAATGACTTCTATATAGAACCATTTCATGCTTAAATGGTTCTTTGCATGGTAAACTGGTTCTTCAGATTAATGGAGAATGTGTTGTACATGGTTCTATACAGAACCTTTTTGAAAAGGGTTCTATATAGCACCAAAAAGGATTCTTCTATTGTATGAAGCTTGATATTGTACATTTTGTAAAAAATATGGTTCTTATGAACACTCAAAGAACTTTTTGCATAATTAAAGGGTTCTTCAGATTGATGGAGAATGTGTTGTGGATGAGCTCTATATATAGCACCAAAAAGGGTTCTTCTATTGCAACAAGCTTGATATCATAGCAATCAAAGAACCCTTTTGGTGCTACATAGAACCCTTTTAACAAGGTTCTGTATAAAACCAACACATTCTCTATCGATCTGAAGAACACTTTCATGATGCAAAACACTCTTTAATCATGTAAAGGGTTCTTTGAGTGTTTATGGTTCTATATAGAGTCATTTTCTTTACTAAAGAACTCTTGAAGATACATCTTTTTTAAAGTGTGTGTATGGAAACACATTTGACACAAATATCAGTCTATACAATAATAAATGCCACCCAATGAGAGTTCAACGCTAAAAAACCCAAACTGAAGTGAGTCTAAATGGTCTAGAATATACTGACAACATTTAAGAAAGCATTTCATTTTCACCAGGGAAGCTGGTTAGTGGAGGCAGATGAACATAAAGGGGAAAAGCTGGTGATCAATGTGAGTGCAGAGATTCAATTCTGTTCTTACCTCATTTCCTACTGCACTCAGAGAGAGTGAGAGAGAGAGAGAGAGAGAGAGAGAGAGAGAGAGAGAGAGAGAGAGAGAGAGAGAGAGAGAGAGAGATGGATTACATCATTACTGCATGCAACAGAAAGACAGAGAGAAAGAGAGAAAGGCAGCATGCGTGTGAGCTTGAGGTCCGAGGAAGCTATTTTTCCACCAAAAAGCCAAAATTTCACCTTTAGGCCACAAAGCTAATGAAGCGTTGAATGCATTAATTAATCACACTTGCAGGCTCTGCAGAATAACACACCCTCATCACATGCAGCGCCGCGCTGTCACAAACACAACAGCACCGTCGGCCGAGCCAGACATTCAATACACTGTCACTACATTTCAACACAATGAACTGGGTTGGTGCTCTTATCACTGAACGCCAAAAAAAAGATCTGAGTTATGGCAGTAAGGCCCACTTCTCCAACACCTATGACGTGCCCATATTCTACTTATTTCATGTTACATTTTCCTCATAAAGTTTACTTATGACATTTGTGTATTTTCTTTTTATGAATTTTTACCAAAAACAGTTATATTTTATTTTATACCTGACCATGTTCCAACCTCTTCTGAATCTGAAACCGACACAAAGTAGACCATCAGCCAAGGACACCATCATTTATTAAGAGGAAGTACAATGTAGGTGTTTCTAATAAAGTGGCCAGTGAGTAATAGTACATGGTAGGTGTTTCTAATGAAGTGGCCAGTAAGTGGAAGTACAAGGTAGGTGTTTCTAATAAAGTGGCCAGTGAGTAATAGTACATGGTAGGTGTTTCTAATGAAGTGGCCAGTAAGTGGAAGTACAAGGTAGGTGTTTCTAATAAAGTGGCCAGTAAGTGGAAGTACAAGGTAGGTGTTTCTAATAAAGTGGCCAGTGAATAGAAGTATAAACTGCCTTAGTGTATAATTACCAAGTAGAGATGTGAGAATTTACCTTGCCAGCTAAAAACAGTAGTAGTAGCCATCTACATGCCTGAACTTTGTCTGTACTTTTGTTCGTGTTTATAGACAGAAATATGTAACACAGTGTCCGAAACCATAAAATCACGTCTATTGAAGATTAATGAACAGGCTGAGGCAGTTTGAAGCAAGTGCCCGGTGATTCAGGCCTGCAGTTAACATGATGCTAACACAACACATAAGCTTTCATTGCATGTTAGCTATGTTAGCTTTGATTCTTAGCCTAACTTCAGACAGCAAACATGTCATAGTTGAACAGTTTCATTGTGTGAATCTCACTTGCCAAACTATTCCTTTAACACAACCTGGTTCAGTGGTGCAGCGTCATCAGGTGATGCTGCAAGTGATTCCCAAACCCAGCTGAAAGAGCAAACAGCACGGCTAATGCAAAAACAGACACTTCAGCACATTTTAAGAATGAACTGCTCAAATTAATCACAGGCAGGAGAGATCTTGGCTGTCTGACGTTTCCTTTGGGGGCATTTAGCATAACGTGGTGGGCTTGTTAACTGCTGTCTTCCCTGCACAGCAAAAGATGGAAGCAGCTGGAGTGTTTTGTTCTAATATTTCAATCTGTAGAAATAAAAAATCTATTCGTATACAAGTGACATAGCCTAATTTTGCAGCGTGGTAGGAGCCTAAAGGTTCTACAAGGTCCTAAAGGGCCACAGCGGTGCACAGTTGGCTGTTTCTCCTGATGTACCACACCTAATTCAGCTTAGATCATCAGCAAACCCTTTATGAGCTGATCTGCCTGCATTATAGCAGGAGAAAGACTAAACTCAGTCGTATTGCAGTGATCCAGGGCTGGACATTGGCACTGCTGCTATATATAAACGCTACTATTTCTGTCAGACAGAATTTATAGGCCACTGTAGTCGCGCGTCATTCTGTGGTCCTCGTAATGCCCATATTAGGAACTCCGGGTCTAAGCCCCATTTCTCTATGGCCAGAATGAATAGAGTTTTCGAAAAATCGCCTCTATCGCCCCCTGTGTTAAGTAGAAATGTTCAGAACCCAATACGTTCTGTCCTGTGAACATTTTTCTCCTGAATACCACCGGATCCTCCGAATTACGAGGTCGTTAAAGAGCTATAATACTAATATTGCTACATACGAGCTAAAGCTACTGCGCATCAATTTGATGTCACTAAGCTACACGACACTAAGGCGGGCTGTGCTACCTTATCAAAATCTTCTAAAGTAGGGCATATTCACAGGTATACCCCTAAATAAAACCTCTAGGTAGGATATTTTGAATAAAATACTACCCGTGTTAAAACTACGAGGCTGAGTTTACCTTTTTTCGCATCTTCTTGTTTGAATGTTCCCGTTCCACCTTAAATGGTGCAGCAGCTGTGAATAGCTATCACAAACATTAGCAAACGAGACAAAATACTGACCTGTCGGTTCTGTGAAACGGCAAAAATAAGATAATGTTACTCAGCTGTTCAGCGGAAATAGAGAACCCTTCTCGTATCAGGCCTTTCCACCCTCCATGAAGCTGAAGTCAGCTGCTTTCTCGCCGGCTGCTTGTTCGAATTTTCCCGTTCCACCTTAAATGGCGCAGCAGTATAGAACGTGACTGCTGCAACACTTAAGGTGGACCGGGAAAAGTAGCGAATTTCCTGAGAAAATGTCCTCAGAAAAAAATGTTACCAGCGTTAAAATAAAAATTAGGATATTCTGAGAGCCTGAATCAGTTTATCAGGGGGTGATAACCTGCTTAAGGAGGCTGTCAGTCTAATGACGAGCAATATTAATATTTCAACTTTTTAACGACCTTGTAATTCGGAGGATCCAGTGTTATTCGAGCGAAAAATGTCCACAGGACAAAACGTATCGGGTTCTGAACATTTTTCGATTTTTCGAAAACCCTATTCATTCTGCCCACAGAGAAATGGAGCTCAGACCCGGAGTTCCTAATGTGGGCATAAGAGCATGGCGCCGTCTACAAAAGTGATTCCATATACATGCAGGATTGACAACGTAAACCAGAGGAGTTATAAAAAGTAAACTGTACCAATTATAAGTAGTATAGAGTACAAGAGTATTAACCGCTAAAGTGTTCTTTGCATGTATTTTTTTTTTAAGTAAACTAAATTAAACTAAATTCATAATAAAAGTCATCTTGTCTAGTGGACGGCCCAGAGTGAGGCTGAAATTACAAGATAATTTCCTTCTTAAATATATATATATATATATATATATATATATATATATATATATATTATTATTATTATTTTAACTGAGTTACAGTCAAACCAATACAAAGAAGCATGAGGTTGGGAGAAGTTACACAGCTACATTAAGAATTAAGTGAAACACTATACATTGTTTTTATTTATGTTTTTATAGCTTTTTTCTTCTTCTGATTTTTAATTGCCATCATTTATTGTTTGGATTCAAAGAAGTAGACTGAAAAGGCCTCTTGTGAGTATTTACACTGAATTTGCATTCGTGAAAACAGAAAAACGTTGTACAATATAGCCACCATCCCAACAGACGTCATCCGCTGCGTGACTTTTATTCTGTGACGGAGGCGGAAGCGGAGCTGCGCGGAGATGGCGGGTGTAGAGAAGCAGGGTGCGGTTTCTCTCCCCAAACATTCATACTGGTTCGACTTCTGGGTGTTTGTCTTATTCGACATCGCGTTTTTCCTCTTCATGTACTTTGTCGTTCCTTAAGGTGAGTTCAGAGAGACTCAGAGTCTACAGAGAACCGCTGAAACGCACGGCTGCCCGGTTAACGGTGCTGTGTTGACAGTCAGCTCAGCACGTTCAGCTCAGAAGTTAAGGATTAACAGCACATCACATTACTTCACCGTCTAGTTACACAAGTAGCCGCATATTTTAGTGTTCAGCATCCAAACTGAGTGTTCTGGGTCATTGTGGTCAATAATAGATGCTGTGTAGTTAACCAGACCCTCCCAGCTGCTGTCTACGTGACAGATTTCACGTCGTCACGTTTTACCCCTGTTTTACCATATAATCCATTCTAAAGGATGTGTACTGTGCACCATCTGTATAGTTCATCAGAAAGCACTTTTCTGAGCTTTATAATGCGCATACAATGCTTCACATGACAAATAGTGCCTATTTTTTAGGTTCACTGAATGATATTGTGCACACAGTGGATCAGGGGTCCTGGAGGGCCGGTGTCCAGCACAGTTTGGAGGTTTCCCTGCTCAAGCACACCTACTTAACCTGGCAATTAACAGGTAAGTGTGATCAGGTGTGTTGGAGAAGGTAAATCACCCAACTGTGCTGGACGGTGGCCCTCCAGGACCGGAGTTGTGCACCCCTGCAGTGGATCGTATTTAGTTACTACCTGTGATTTGTGTAATAATTTAGACTTCTATAAGATTTCCTTAAGGACCCTGTAGTAAATTTTGGACAAGTACTGCAGTTTATAACAGGATACAACAGATGTTTTCTCTGTTACTGGATAACTGCTACATTAACATGATACAGAGGCAAAAGCTTCATAGTATATACTAGACGTATTATAGCTACAGTGTTAGTACTGTATAGTATATACATTATATAGATAATATTAAAGGGGAAAAAAATCACACAGCCCTTATAAATAAAATAATACAATAAAACATTAAAGTTTTTATTGTGCAGTATAGTCTAAATAATTAAGGAGGCCCCAATATGGGGATTGTGGCCAATGATATTTACATAACTGTTAATTACAATAAGGGGACATTTATAAAATGTAGCAATTACTATAAAATCTACCTGATTAGCTTTGCAGAACAATGTAGTTCTTATTTAATAACATCTTATTTGAAGTGAAGTAAAATGGTTTCATTGGTTTGAAACATCGGTCAAATCTAAATATATTTAAAGCAAACTTTTACTGATGAGACATCCCTATTACCAATATCCCTATTAATAATCTATAATATTTTTACTTACCTATAATATTTCTCCAGTACTGTTTTACAGTAATCTGTAATACTTGTGTTGTATAGATTAACTGATGTAGTTGTCTCAGTTTACTAAGAGATTCCTACAGGGATGCAGTGGGAATTCTCATAGTGTTTTTTAGTGATGTGCACGGGTACTTAAGTAAAAAACTTGTTGATTTCTCTCCGCTATTTCTAAAAAATAAAACTAAATCTTTGTGAAACACCAGTGCTGTTACCTAAGAAGTAAGGGGAATTCCACCAATCTTTCAGAATTTCAATATAATTTGATTGTTGAGGTGTAAACAAAGTCATTCAGAGTGGTTTGGTGTGAAATGGTTCATGGTAGAGACTCAGATTTCTTTACAGTGGTGTACATTTTAAGCCAAAACCTTTGCAAAACTGTTGTAAAACAATGTCTCAGACATCAAGCAGCGTATCTGTAATTTTTAATCTAATAACTTTCTGTGAAAGAGCTTTTAGAGGTGGACGTCTGGTTCCTATCACCACCACTGTGAACAGCTCTGACTCCTCTAGAATGGAGCATTTCACACCAAACCGCTCTGAATGACTTTATTTATATCTTAACCGTTGAATTATGCAGAAATTTTGATTTATTTTTGTTACTGTTATTGTTCCTTTCCTGTGGTTAACCAGTTATGTGTTCATTAACTTTTATGAATACTCGAATATGAAAGTTATTCGGAATGCACATCCCTAGTAGTTTTTGTTTTAAACAGTTATTATTTATAAGGGGTTGAACTTGCTCACCAGTTTATTCTGTGTTGAGCTGTCCATAAATTCTTCTCTTTTGTGTCCTGCAGGATCCACCTGTGGTGTGTGAGGACGAGGAGCATGGAGATGGTAGCTGACCTATGGAGTAGATGAGACTCGTAAGTCTTTATATTACAGTTCATTACAGTATATTACAGACTTCATTTCCCTGAAAACAAATTTACTGTAGTTTCCTTGTGAGAACATGACTTCAGTTTCATAGACCCGCATTATAACTAGCATAAACAACAACACTGGCCACTTAAATTCACTGATCAGTGCTGTCACTTTTAGCTTTATCTTATTCAGAGCATTTCAACTTCATATAAGAGCAGCATGAACACAAGCAGAATTTCAGGAACAGAGACTTTATTTCATTCAGTATTTTTTATTTGTACCACATACAAATAAAGGGAATAAATAAATTACTATAATCATCACTCATGTTATCAAGTGCTTTGGTTTGCACTTAATTAAATCTGCTAAATGGGTTTAGAATTTTGTTGACACAACAAAAAAGGGGAAGATTTTTGGCAACATGCTGTGTTAAGAATATGAATGCAGATCTTAGCTTGGTAGTTGTGTTTTTAAAAAGACTCAGTTGTTCTTTTCCTGAAATCCTTAATCAAAATCTAATAATGTTTGCTCTGCCGCTGAAACCTCTTCAGATTTTTGATGACATCTTTGTGCACCAGCAGGAGGGGCAAAATATATTAACCCATAATATCATGTATCACCTCTCCCTCCCACCCCCACCTATCATGGAGGGAAAACTTTAGCTGAGCGGCTGAATCAGAGATGTTTCACGTTTTAAATGAAAATGCAGCAGTGACCCGATCACCTGTCGCTGTCTAGTCCAGTTCATCTGAAGTAGTTCACTATTTTGGTTCAAGGCAGCTGACATAAAGGAGTGGCCGGTCTTTTGGGGTTAGCCCTAGCCTAGCATGGACACTAGGGCGGTTGCTTTGCTTCTGTTTCCACGAATAAGACGTTTGCTTCTTTTTGGAATTTCCTGGTCCACCTTAAATGGTGCAGAAGTTACAGTTAGGTACCTGTATAGGTGCCAGAATGTAACGGCTACAACATTTAAGGTGGAATTGAAAATGAGAACACGTATGTACATATATAGATATGAAAATAAAGTCAGCTTCAGCTTTGTAGAAATTCAGATGTGATTAATTTATCACTGCAGGGCTAGCGTTAGAAAACAATACTGACATGTAGATATTTTGGAGTTTTGTTTTTAATATTTTTTGCAATTAAAATAGTTTAGGTTTACTTTGATTGTTAAAAATGTTTCTTATTAAAAAAGTGAAGGAATGGCCCAGAATAATAAGCTATTTTTATCTAACAAAGATAATTTAAGTATCTAAAGTGGAATTAAGATGAGAAAAAAAAATAACGCTAAGAATAGTGTATTAAAGTTGATTCACATGCTTTGACACCTCTACAGAGAGAAATTCTCTATACATCTTGTAAAATAAAAATTCATGTTCTGTAAATGTTTGTTCTTTTGCAGGTTGGTAATGTGTGACTCCCCCAAAACTGCACTCCATGGCTTTGGCTGATCTCATCCGTCCACCAATTCAGAGTACTGCGAGTGCAGTGCCTTGTTTCAGGCTCTTTTACACCCCTGATTCAAACAGCTACGCTTATCCAAAGAACCAAAAACACGTTACAGATAACTAATCATTCCTCTACAGGCTTCACGCCTCTACCTGAATTGTAATTCATCTTAAACACTGTGTGAGTTAGAGTTAGACTGCAGGATGTTAACACATATGTTAACACATATGCTACATGAAGAAGTGGTTGAATTAATTGTCATTATGAATGAATGAACAAGGTTTTGTTTGCTTTAATCTCAATCATGTGATTCACTGAATACTAAAAAATTAAAGTCTCTTAATATATTTTTGAAATTTGGTTTGGAAAATCGATTCTTGTATTGTTCAATACTGTATGCAATTGACATATTACAGGTGTTAACTGTTTAACACATTGTGCAGTAGTAGTCAGAACCCAGAAAAATGAGTTGTGATACAAAGATGTAACAGGTCAGCATGAAAATCCTGGAAAAGTCATGAAAAAATAAGTTCTGGAAGTTCTTTTTCCCCATGCAGATGGTCATCTCATGACATTCAAAGTACTAAAAAGTCTAGAAAGCAAAAAGCACAGAGACCTGAGATTAATGCATCTGCACTTAGACTAGCTTTACCAACATGTTGTTAATGTTAATTTCGGCTGGCAAAGGTGTGGCATTCAGGACGTGTGCAGTGGATGATGTTTTGACATTTGATTACTGAGGTCTGAGTGCAAGTCATAGAATTCAGTCCTATATTATTTTAATCTCCCTCTTGTTGGCTGTAATGTAGCACCATTTAGAAACAGATGAACAACTCACAGTGAGAGCTAGTCAAGCTAAAGTACAGCCTCTGCGCTGCTGGGTTCGTTTTTATCAGGGTTTAGAAAAAAAGTGACGCCCCAAAATGAGAATTCTTGGCTAAAACCAATATTCAGGACACACTGGGCCAAAACACAAAATCAAAAAAGCAGACAAGAAATCAGCTAACATAAACATACTACAATGATTCCAGTATGTAGGCTACAGAATGGCCATGAAATCCAGTGTCCTCCACAACAGAGAACAGTTGGTCATGCAAGACATTCAGTTCCATTATTTTAGATATACTTTGCACTTTGTGTGTCATTTGTGAATTTTTGGGCTGAAAGATGAATCGTTTTTATACGGAAAATTGCAATTTAAAAGAGTGCAATTTTCAAACCGCATGAGCTGCAATTTTTGAAAATTAAAGCCTACGTTATCAAAGCTTGAACCTAATAACAAAGAGCTTGTTAACTGCCTGCAGATAAGTTAGACCAATCAGAGGCCTCCAAACCTCTATGTGTTGTGACATCACAACCACAACTTACTGGCAGTTTGGCACACTGCATTCAGGGTTCAAGCCTCAAGCCTAAGAAAGAACTTCTTAGCCAAGAAAAAGCCTGAACCTTATATGTTATAGATAATAATCGCAATTTAAATTGCAGTCGCAATATTAGAAAAATTACAATTCGATAATTTCCCCAAATCATTCAGCCCTAGACACCATGACGTAAACGTGAAAATGTGATTTAAGGTTATATCAATGCCAATCAGCAGGGCTGAAAGATTAATCGTTTTATACTGAAATCGCAGTTTGAAAGATGGCAATTTTCAAATCGCAAGAGCTGCAATTTTAATTACAGTCTATATTATCAACAAGTTTTGTGGGGAAAATTTGGATGAGACATCACAGCCACAGGAAGCAAGACAAAGTGTAAATGTTGGTCTTCTTGATATAAAAAAAGCCATGGACTTATAAAAATTATAAATTAAATATAAATTTTTATACTGGTCAGAAAAATTGTGTGCTCACAGGGATTTTCCTTTCTGCTTCTGTTGTTTTACTGTTCTGTGTATCGAGCAGGACGACAGGTTTCCAGATGGTAGAGGTTCTAGATGTTTCTGTTCCAGAACAATTAAGTATAATTACGTTTGTGGTTATGCTTTTCCTTTTTCGGAGCCCTGGTTTTAACACAACGTTATGACTAAGCCTCATATAGTCACCTCATATAGTAAGAGCCCACATTTCCCCCCAACATAAAAAATTCTAAATATTTTATTCACTGATTCAAACTGAAGAAAGGCTACAGTTCTAATTGGCTTAGGACTGTTAATGATTAATGACTGTTAACCGACAAAAACGTTCAACCAATGCATTCGATTAATTTCTGATAATATGATATAACTGATACTTGAATAGGCAGGTTTTTCATTCAACAAGTTGTTGGCTGCGCAAGGCCGAGGGTTATACCGGCAGCCCTGCATGGTGATGCACAACTCTGGGTTTTTGGAGTCAGACTCCTCGACTCGACTTACCTGATAGCACTAGAGCTTAATAGCAACAATCAACCCCTTCCTAAGTGTCGAAACTAGGATACACAGTCGAAACTAGGATATTCATGTATGCTAATGCTATGCTAGGATACAAATGACTCTTTTAAACGCCATATTGCTTCTGTTGAGATCAGCCTTTAGCGAAAGCATACAAATGTGGTTACTAGGTAACAGTTAGCCGATGTAGTGGCAGAAAATGCTTAATGGCTGCAATATCAGCTTTATGTTGATTTGGGTGTCATTTGTGAATTGTTTAAATTAAGCACACAGATTTTAAGTTGGGACCAAGCAGGTTATATATGTTGGTTATTCATTCACTGAAGCCTAAAGCCTTGTTTATATAAATGCTGGGGTGTGCTTGGTGGTTTGCTGGATTGTGTTTGTGATTTTAGGTTTGCCTATTGACAATTTTTTACACACTAATAATGGTCAAAAGAATGTGCCACTATCCCTAAACTGGCCAAATGATTAAGATAAATAAACACAACTTTGAGAATCAAAAACCAAAACTTCAAGTGCTCTGGAGCCCAACTCTCAACTCCTCGACTTAATTTACTTGATAGCACTTCAATAGCAGAATATAAACCAGTAAGTGTAGTTTACAGAACTATGGCAACTAGTATATAAGCTACAACTGATTGTTTTTAAGCATCATGTTGTTTCTGTCAGGTTCAGCTTTAAGCTATAGTCTACTAATGTGTTTGTAGTTGTGCCGTGACAAAAAATGCTTAAAAGCTGTGATACTGATCTGATTAAAAGCTGCATGATTTCAGGTTAATGATCAATTACTGACTAATAACAGTCAAAAGAATTTACCACAATTCACAATCCTGAACTGACCAAATGTATAATTATTTAATTTAATAATTGATCTAAAAGAAAAGAGACACAAATCAGTGCTGATCTATAAAAAAAAAAAACAAACAAACAACCTGCGCTCTCCTCCAGTCTTGAAGCACTTGTGCTCTCAATGACAAAGGCAGCCGTCTGCGGAGAGACAAAGTGCCTCAAATTACCCCCCATTCTTCTCCCCTTCACCTCAGAGAGCCAGGGAGGATCCTGAAGAGCGCGCTGCTGCTGTGACCTATCGTCTTGTCTGGAGTCTCCAGGGAACAATTAGTCTTTTCTGCTTTTCTATTGGCCGCAACCTAAACGACTGCCAGAGATTTGGAGGAGACGAATGGGTCAGGAAGAGCGGAACATGAAAATATAGAGTGGAACGCCCCTCCATCATGGGCCAGCGTGTTATTGGGAGTGTCAACAACAAAAGAAAAACCATTTTTCCTCCCTTTCTTCCAGGTGGAGGCAGGAAAACGAGAAGCTTTTAGATTCTCCTTCTCGCCGAGAACCTGCAGTTGAACGTTCGGAGGGTCCTACATCTTGTGAAATAAATAATCAATGGCCTTCCTCCTGGCTGCCTCCAGGCATTTTGGAGGCACGCTGAGAGAGGCAGAGAATGTTTCATGTTTGCTTATATAAGCAACACACTGATCTTTTCCCCACAGGACGCACAGGAAGTGCTTTTTGTGTCCTCTTCTGCCAACTTCCTGTCATCTCCTCTGGTGCTGTGGACAAAAACGTGGAGAAAAGCTAAACGAAGTCGACGTACATCGCGTGCGCTCCTCGCCAGCAGAGATCGCCCGCAAATGTTTATTCAGGTTTTTCTTACAGTGCCAGTTGCTTCATTTAGACGAATCTGGCACCCGCCAGCTTCCTCCGCTTTCACAAATCTAGGTTTTGGACTTCCTGTCGTTCACATTTTTGCGTTTTTTCCTGCTCTAACAAACCTGATTCAACTCAGCACCTCATTCATATTGTATCAGACTTTTTATTAGAGCTACAGTACAGTGCAAATGTCAGAGACCACCCTTCACTTACGTAATTTTCTTCCATAAGAAGGGAAAAAGTCAAACGAGAGTATGTGAAAAAACAGGTGTTTCCAAAACTGGAGTTCAAAAAATGAAAGTTACAGAGAAAATCTGACTCCTAACAACCACCTGCAGGAGCTGGTAGACACCAAAACTGACCCTATCAGATAAACAGCACTTAAAGCTTTCATCTCTGAGGAGAGGAGAAAATCAAGCTCCACTCTGGATTCAGATCTGAAAACATCCACAGGTGGTTCTGTCCATCCTTCCACCGTCAGAAGACACTCAACACTGTGAAAAGGAAACAGACAAACCAAACAAAGAAGCTGCTGCTGTTCTCAGAACAACGAACTGACCACCTCAGAGTCCAGACTGAAACATCACTGAATGTTACTGAGTGCAACCAACTTCTATGACTTTGGAGGTGTGGAAAGATACCTTTGCAGATTTCTTTGAGAAACTGAAAGTGAGTCCTCTGATAAGAATGGAAGCTGTATTAAAGGTAAAGAGTGACGTGTCTTTTTCCAGACGTTACGGTCATGGTGAAAGGAATTTAAATAAATGGGTGGTTGCTACTTTTTGTCTTGAATCTGTCATAAAACACTTATTAACCATCTTATTAATTATTCTGTAACTACACTATATTCTTGGGTAGATATACAGTTCTAGGAAAAACATTGGTATTCAAGATTCAAGAGTTTTATTGTCATACGCACAGCAGAAACAGGCAGTTACACTGTACAATCAAATTCTTACTTTGCTGTTCCTCCATTCACCAAATATACTCTTAATATAATCTTAGAATAAAAAATAGAAAAGTAGAGAAAAAAAAAACAAAAAAACAATGGGTCACTAGGAACCAAAGTGGTTCTGCTCTTGGCATTGCCCCAAAGAACCCTGTTTGGCACAGGGCTTCCTCCATTTGTAGTAGTCTGTAACAGACAACATTCCATGCACACTCATAGTCCACATAATGTAAAGCTTCTATAGCAGTTAAAGGCTTTTTCTATAACTGTACATTTCAAGCAAAGAACAGTTCATTTTTGAATGTGAACAAAACTTGGAAAAACTTGATTTTTAAACCTCATTTTTAAACGTTAAATTGCAAATGTAA